CAAATCAAAAGCCAAAATCAACATGGACCTTATGTTTAAGAAATTAAGCTAAAGCTCGCACCATCAAATATGAACCACTTTAAAAGGGCTTGGTGAATGAATCAATCAAATTTTCAAAATGCTTTTGTTTTATTACAACAAAATTAAACAACTAATTAAAATTTAATTCCATAGAGCCAAGTCAACAAGCCAAATGGAACAAGCGGTGAAACATAACTTATAGAGTTGCTTAGTAATAGCAGCACCAACGACTCCAGTGTAAAAGACAATTACATAAATAGTGACAAGAGGGGTGAATGATTTTGGTCTTTTGTATGGCTAAGTCATGTCCTAAAGAATCGTCTTTTCCTACTTTGTGTGCAAATAATCCGTGTATTTCCTTCAAAGATACCCTGCCATTTTCACATCATCCCCAAAACTCTTTTTTACTGATTCTGAGTCACAACAACATATTTATTATCAATTCTAGTAACCCAATGGAAAAGATTACGAAGAAAGAAGATTAACAAAGTTCCACCAATCACTTGGGAATATCAACAAATAAGTCATAGCTCCCTTCAATATAATTTCTCTGAATCACAACATATAAACTTAAAATGCAATAAATTTCGCAGAGCATGAAATTATAATCTAAAGAATGAACAAAAAGGTGCAAGGGAAATTACCTGTTCGTCAATGCAAGTGACAAATGTAATTGGGAAATTGTTTACTTGAATAGATTGTTAGCGACAGTGGTTGTTCGCGACAAAGTTGCTCGAGATGATGGTAGCTTTTGAAATGGAAGAATAATTACATACAAATTTCATCTCGTTTAGATGAAGAAGATAAAGAAGTATAGCTGTTAAAAATGGGAAGAAAAAGAAACAATGGTTGGTTAGAAGGGTTTCTACATTCCATAGAAGAGATGGATTTGGGAGAGGGAAAGGGAAGGGGAAATTTTCTATGTTGAATGAATGAGGGTAATTCTGGTAGTTTGTTAATATTAATTTAAAATATTTATTTTAAAACTTTTATTCTGATCAAAGGCTATATTTGCAAATTATATCATGAGATAGGCTATTTCACCCAATTTCCACTAAAATAATTTTACATGTAAATCTGTTTTTTATTATTTTTTAACAACAAATTCACAAAACTGATATTACAAAGTTTATTCTCATATAGAAAATGGTACAAACAAACCTTTATTCTTCAGAAAGATTCTTGTATTGACGGTGTTGGATGTTGCTCTGCCAAGAGCCGCTAATACGACATCATTTGGGTATGTCAAAAATCGTATGAAGGTTGTGAATGATCAATAGATGATTTACCACTCTTAGATAGTAAGAGATCTGCATTTCATTCAATTAAGTTGACAACGAAATCCTTGGTGAAAGTGTACTCAGAAGTCGAAAAGGAGTTTTCGACTTATCTAGACTTAATAATGGAATGAAATATATGATCAATAATCGGGATTGACACACTTTCATATCTCGTAATTGATCGGATCATATTAACGAATGGACTATAGTTTCACAATAAATGAACGAATTTGACTTTGTCATACCAAGTGACATTTTCCGTCACATGTATTACCCTGACATATTGCTAAATGTCAATCTAGGACAGCGAATATGAGTTGGTGATAAATTAAAAGGGTGTTTTAATTTATCAATTTTGATTAGATCAAAATAATAATTCACATCATTAGGTATCGTGATTAGGAACTTGATTGGTCTCACACAAGAGGAAAACTAGAAGATTGTGACTTGTCATTCAATTAATTTGATAAGCGTTGGATACATTAATTAATTGAGTTGTTTATTTATAGGCTCGAAATAATTAATTCATGGACCGAATTTAATTAAATGAGTTGATTAAATATTGGACCGGGTCAGACCAAGCCCTTTTGGGCATATATAAATAAATGGCTAGGTTTCAAATTGTAGAGAATTCTTTATTCTTGCTAGCATAAGAGGAAAAAATCCTGGTTCCTACAATCTTGTTCTCTATGTGGAGTTCTATTGGAGGTTGGACAATTGGACAATTGTAGGTGGCAGATCAATATTGCTTGAAGAGAAGAAAAGCAAAGGAGTTTGTAGTTTTCGAAAAATGTATAATTTTTATCACAATTTTTATTTAAACAGAAAGCAGATCTTTGGTAGTAATTGAAATTTATTTTATTTTTCCCTTCGCATGATAAGTAGATTCCCAACAGTGTCTACTATAAGGGGTCTCTTCTTCATCAACATCTATGGCATCTTCATGTGCGACTCTTTTAAGGTTAGCATCCTATTCACTTCTACTCATCCTTTCTCCAAGGATATGTCTTTCTGTGGAGGATAATTTCTTAAGTAAAATGTTCTACAGATCTCTCATGATTTAAGTGTACTTTTCCATAGATGACGACATTCCGTTAACCTTAGAATTTGGATGGTACTCATCCCTCCAATAGATCCCAATTTCTACTTTTCTTCCCATGCAAGTTACGTGCGTACTTGGAATGCACACATTAAAGATTAAAAATCAAATCATATCCTAACAAATGTGGAGAAGGTCACAATTGTACGTGCTCCGAGGCTGAAGTCAATAAAATGGATGACCAAATATACTGGGTGTGTGTGGGAGTGATATGAACGAGAAGAAAAGAGAAGCCTTTATATATTTTAAGTGAGAATAACAATTTCTTTATTACCTTCAAATATCACCAAGTATGAGTATTTACACATAACTGAATGATATTGAAGTTTCGCGGATGCTTGACATCTTGCCTGATCCCAACGACTCATACACCAAATTTATATAGTATGCCTCATAGGCATGTGACATGCCGCACAGCGTCCTAGGCGAGAAAGATAGGACTAGAATCCTAGCGGCCATTCCATGGATGTAACATCACAAGTGGCTCTAAGTTCATATTACAGTTCTCCTAAGGCATCAGGCTTCAGATTGAATTTTGATGCCCATTTAACATGGCTAGGGGTTAGGCCTCTTCTCATCACCTTTGATAGAAAAAGTGGCATATCTAGACGGAGTTATGTCTCCTCGAAGGTTGTCGTAGATGAGGCACTGAGAATGAGCCTTCCAATGTCCCAAAAATAAGAGGTGGTTGAGGAGATCGTCGATGTCCCTTTTGCCTCGAAAAATAGATGTTAGTGTGGCATTTTGTTTAGCTGATAGCCATATGGCCTTCCAAGTAGGTACTTATGTAATAGAAATAATACTATCGATGTTGAATTAATCAATTTAGAACTTTGTAAAACTTCACTCTTATCATTTGAACAATGTGTACTGTTGGTAATGAGGTAAAATTAATATTTTATTTTTGGATATATCTTTCAATTTAGCCCCTATTTGATCCCCATTCTTTAAAAATTCATTTTTTCTCAAATTTATTTTCAACTACATATGACAAGCCCTTGTGACAGGCGCCTATGTGGCGCCCTCTGATAGCTCCCTCCAATAGGAGGGCGCCACATAGGCACCTATCAAGGCCCCTATTTGTTTATCATTTTTCAATAATTTTACATGCAAGTCAAAATTTTTTTGTTTCTAACAAAAAATTAAGCCCCCGTTTGGCCCCTATTTTTTGGAAATGAAAATGCGTGGAATAATGTTTTTTTGAAAATTGAGAGGTTGAAAAAGAAGGAAAATATTTCGATTTACGTATAATATTATTTTATGGAAGATTATGTGGTTGAAAATAGAAAAGAAAAAAATAGAATGTAATGTAATGAAATTTAATGGGACCACATGGCGGCTAACAAAACTGATATTACAAAATTTATTCTCATATAAAAATGGCACAAACAAACCTTTATACCTCAAGAAGATTCTACTTTACTATAAAAAATTTATTATCTTGTCCCCAAATTGAGCGTCCAGTTGAGAGCATAGCCGATAGTTTGACTGTATGACACGCATCAGCCCACTATCCATTCGTCATCTTTACACATCAACGGTATATATTAATCGAGGACTTTATATTTGTTTGTATATATACCACACTGAAACCTCACCCGTTCTAATTTTTTCTAGACTCTAGTCATCAAAACAGAAATCGCATGTTTCTTTACGATCTCTATCGCTGTCTTGCATAGCTTTCCTCTCAATTTTGTTACTCTGAATTTTTCAATCCGAGGTAAAATTCTGTTTCTATATTCTATAAATATTAGTTTCTAATTATATCTTGTTCTTCAATTTCAGCTTTTTTTTTTTTTTTTTTTGGTTTCTTTTCTTTTTCGTTTAGCTGATCATTATGTTTTTGTGGGAATATGGAAAATAAGTGTGAAAACTATACGGTTTACAGAAGAGTAATTGAAGCCGTTATTATTTTTTGTTTGGGTATGGTTTTTCTGTGTTGAAGTGGTTAACTTGGTATGAGAATTAGCAGAAGATTTTCTATTCATGCTCATTAATTAAAAGCGTGTTAGAAAAGGAACCCGTCTCTACGTGATTTACTGTACATTTTTATTTTAGGAAAACTGGACGGTGTCAGTAATTTCTACCTTGTATTAGAGCATATGGAAATGGATTTATATGTTACAAATATTAGGAATCAAATTTTTTATTGAAATAAGAATATATTTCATGGTTAATGATCAATGTTTCTTAATGATGGTGGGCCCACGAAATTTGTTAATAATAATTAGTAGTTATGAATCTGCAGTTGAAATTAATGTTTGATTGAATGAATTTATAAATTATTCATAAATTTGTTTGCCAAATGGAGGCTGATTAGTTGTGCATAATCCAAACTCAAATTTGATGTTTCTTGTGGCATTATGCTAAGCCTAGAGAATTTACATTATGATTATTTGTTGGTTAAAGTGAAAATATGATATGGAACATTCAGTAGCTTAAGAGTATGCTGAAGTAACTTTTAAGCTTTGCCAAACATGCTATCTATCCTTGTTAAAGAATTATGTTGCACTGTTGCAGTACACATATTAAATATTACTATTTAATACCGATAATGAACAGCAGGCATTGAGGTCGTTTGGTTTTTTCGTCCTTTCCAGGAGACATGGCGGCCGCTCATGTAGTGTACAAGGGTCCAAGTATTCTGAAGGAGATCCTTATTGGGATAAGTCTGGGCATCACGGCTGGAGGCCTTTGGAAAATACACCACTGGAACAATCGGAGAAGAACCAAGGAATTCTACGACCTGCTCGAGAAAGGTGAATTTAGTGTCGTTGTGGAAGACGAGTAATCTTCATTTGTTGTGAATCTTTGGTTATATTGTTGTAAATGCGCATGGATTATCGGCAGTCTAGGCATCTTTGTTGGTAGAAACTCGAACATATGATCTTTCAGTGGATGGTTAACGCATAGTTTAGGAGGATCTAAATCATGAAATGAAATGTCTGTTCTTAAATACTCTTTCACTAGTCTCATGTATCAATGAATGACTTTTGTATATTATGTGCGAAGTTATGCTGTGTTCGGAATTTTGCACTTAATAGTTTCAATTCCATGCATAAATGAGCACTTGACATTTGTTTTCTTAACCTTCAATTTCTGTGGCGTGTGGATCTTGAATTTTTTTCGAATTTGAACTTTGAACTTGGATTTTGTATTTTGTTTGAGCATCTCTAATTTTGTACGGATACTCTGCCTTTTAGATTTTTTGGACCTTTGCTTTGTTCATCTCTATATAAGTTCTATCCTTGAGACATTGTAACCTCCTTCAACATAGCTTCACATGAATAAATAAATGAGGACTTTTTGCCTGTTTGTTCACATTTGGTGTGCTTATCTGAAGTGTCTAATTGTTCTTTCATTCCGTGGAAGAGTTGGATGTTTTATGTTCCAGTATTAGATGCTAAATTGTTAAAGCCCTTGTTTGAGCTCCATTTTTGTCATAAAAATGCATTTTTGAATAGTATATTGATATGAAATATGTGGTTAAAAAATGAGGAAAAGTTTTGAATTTGAGTGTAATATTATTTTATTGAAAAATATGTGGTTGAAATAATATCAAAACACTGTTTAGAAATACATTTTTTGAGAAAGAATGGGGGGCTCAAACAAGGGTGTGTTGTGAGATGACCTAGTGAAGCTGGTGAAAAGCATGGTAGTGTTTAGAAAGGGGTTTTGTAATGCCTCAAATTCTAGCAACTCGACGTGTTATCAAATATGAATTTACGTACTTAAAAAAAATCTTAATATAATGACATATTCAATAAAAATTGGACAACATTTAATAAAAGATAAATTTAATTTAATGAAATATGCATAATATTTTGGAAATCGTATCTATCATCAAAACATTAATCAAAATTAGTTTTAACATGCAATAAAATTAGGATTAATGTTCATCTGAAACATTTAAGTGTAAGAAATCATTACGACAAGTAATAGATTTAGTGAGTCGAAAGTATTGTTTCGCAGGGAATAAATTTCAATTCAAGGTTACTAGTTATGTATGAAATTCAAATTGTTTTAACAAAAGAGAATTTGATTTTTGATTATTCTAAATTAATTTAAGAAAGCTGTAAAATTATGATTTTATCAAATATGGATGATTGTATTGGATTTAGAATCCGTCTATTGCTATCTATTTCAATTTTTGATTAATAATTTAGTTCCATTCATGCGCTCTTGACAATTGATAAAACTATGATATATAATTTTTTTAAGACAAATTAAATCTATCTTAACCACGACCTGAATTTATTCCTAGCCCGAATTCGAATGGTTAGTATGCATTAAAGTTTAGATTATCTATGTGATTGCACAAGTGATAAATGTTATTCTTAGCATCTATTTCACATATAGTCCATGTTTGTCATTCTTTAAAAATTAAAATTATTTACTACAATATCAATCTCCACTATACATAAATAAATAAAATTTTCTTACTTTTTAAACACACGTTCTCCAAAAAATACTATTCAATTACTCATTATTTCCCAATAAATTTTATCAAACAGGTCTATTAAATTTGCTGCATTTTAAACTTATTGTGAGCCTCTCAACACTATAACAAGCAACTAATTATCTAAGTGGTTGCCAAACAATTAATAATGTAATGGAATGTAAAATTAATCAAGAAACGCAAGAAATACTAAACAACTAATCTTGAATTAGAAATAAATAACAAATATGTTTCATCTTCATCCAATAAAAATGCGGATCTAGCTTAACATATTAAAATATATATTGTAAAAATAATAATAGAGAAATATCACTTGAATCATGAAATAATTCAAAAAATGTTGATCTTCAAGTTCAAGGTTGAATTTTTCAAAATGTTAATGTAATTGAACTTCAATTCGTTGTTGGGGCTTGATCTCCTCTCTCAAAATATAGTAATTGACCCATTGTTCTTGATGAATTTGATAATACTATTGTGTATGAAGAGGGAATTTCCCATGTGTAGCCCTTGTTTTGTATTTATAACAGCCATAAAATATGTCAAAATCGTGTCCAATTTGGGTTCGAAAAGATTTTGAATCGCGAAAGGAAATTGCTGATTTATCTGTGAAAATAGCCTATGCACATAGCTCCAACGCATGCACCATTGAGCCAAATGTCTCTCGGGTTGGTAAAAACAATGTATCACGTGCAGGCCATGAATTGCTCGCTTGATCACCAGTTTAAATCGCGATGTCCTTGAACTGTTTTTGGTATTTTAGTTATAACGTTCTTTCTTGATATTTAATTGAGGTGATTCAAAATGCATTGAAAAGGTAACTTCAAAAGCTACAATTCTTATAGAAGTACAATTTCTTAAATTCGAACGTTTGCTATCCGAAAAATGGTCGGAAGTTGTGGCTGAAAATCCGAAGCATAATTTTTTTTGGCAATATTTCACTCCTTTGACCTCCAATTGCATTCAATTGATCATATGTGATCTTCAACCATCATTTTACAGTTCGAATCAACAATTGGATATCTACACTTTAGTCTTCGAACATTGGATTTTTTTTTCTCATTTTTGCCCTTTATCATTCATTTCTTCCAATTCTACCAATTTGCCTCCAATTTTACCTAATGAACAAAATTCACATCTAATTAAGTCATAAGTTATCAAAACTTATTCCAATTAATCTCATTTAAGGGCCCAGATAAGTGTATAAAATATATTTATCAAATACCCCAAAATTTGAACAATTGTTCGTCCTCAAACAAAATAAATTTTGATTTAATCAAAAAATTTTAAACAAACATGGTTAGATTGTTTGTCATTGGCCTAAGGATTGGAATTTCTGTATTAAAACTATGAAATGCTTCAAAATCATATTGTTAAGATTAGTTTCTACTCATTCAATGCAAGACTGACGTGTGTGTGAAATTCATGTCAAGCATCATAAATTCATAAAGTGATTCAAGTCCCGACGGTCAAATATATTCTTTCTTTTCTCATAAGATTCACACTTCAAACTTATTTTTTAAACTCTTTTCACAATGCACGATTGAATTTATATACTTGTCCTTATCCTCTCTAGTTTGGTTCGATCTTACGAATTGTAGTTTAACATATCAACGAATGAAAATTCTCCTTATTTTTTATTGTTTTAACCTTCAAAAATCAACTAGGCTAATAATCCCTTGTCAAAAGTTCAATTCTCTTAAATAAGTGTTTGAGGCTTAACAAAAGCATGTAACAATCTTTTTTTTAATATATTTATATTCCTTATTCTCATCTTTTGTACGAACTCCTCCCTATCAAGCTTTTTGAATGACTTTTGTACCGTGCTTTTGGCCGATGACTTTAGGGTATCAGATTTTAAATACCCTTGTGGGTCTAACACTCGAGTCATAAAACTACCAACAGATGTTTCACAATGAGACACATTTTTTTTGAAAAATTTTTTTAAATTTTTTTATACAATGATTAGTGCAATACCCCTTATTAAACACCTATTCTAAAAAATGAACACATAACTTAAGATTTTCACCTAATTTTCATTTTATTGCCTTTAGGCAATCCACACAAAATTTAATACACATGGAATCCATATATATCTCAATATCTCCCTACAACGGTTCAATAACTCCCAAACTATTCTAGGAGGGTGTTCGGTGGGGACTAAAAATTAAATTTTTTAGTAGATTGTGATAAAAGTTTTTGAAATATGTAGTTGAAAAATTGTGAGACCCATGAAAGATGTGGTTAATATTAATTGTTTGATTTTGACTTAGATTAAAATTAAATTTTAATCCAAACCAAATAGGCACTAAATTTGGTTTAAATGTATAAACTGGTGGTTGCTTGGATTTGGAATCTAAGGCGCACTATATATATATATGTATATTTTTTTTTTTCAACTTATCAAATTTTGATTCGAATTATCCTTCATAATGCAAAACATAAATCTTTTGCCTAAAATATCAAATTTCACATGAATAAGCATATATCAACTCTAACATGCAACTTTTGCACAATTTATAGCCTAACACATGGTTCCAAATATATTCATTGTAGTAGGCAAATTTATCTAATCTACACAAGCACACAAAAATAAAAAATAAAGTTGAAAATAAAATATATTTCGAATATATATATATATATATATATATATATATAAAGCACACAAAACAATATAAATAGATAAAAGCTCAATATTTTTTCGCCCCAAACTTATAGCAGATATTGTCCTCAATGTCTAAAAATATAACAAGTAATATACAAAAATTAATGGCAAAGAAGGGAACAAAGTACTTTCCCAATATAAATCTGCAGGTGGTAAATGGAATAGCATGAAAGTACTGGATCACTTGCTATGTATCCTCCCTTTTCCAATGTATTCAGGTATCATGTTCCTTCAAAATAATTAGAAAATCAATGATAACGTGGACCACTTTATAATAAACTCAAACAAACCCTAAAGGAAAACATGGGGATGAAGATATCTTATACTACTAAAAGCAATAAAATTTACTAATCCTATATCTAAAAAGCAATATAAATGAAAGGAAAAAAAATTGGGCTGCCTCCCAATTTGCACTTATTTTATAATCATTAGCTTGACTTCGACGTTTTACTTCATGAAATTCTAAAGAAAGCATTTGATGACTTGTTAGTTTGCTTTTTTTGACTTTGATCCACTTTTCATAGATTCTCCAAATCTTGACCCTGCCTCATTTAATGCGATATGACTTGCCTATTTCATCAAAATCAAAATCAACTATGTAGACTTCTTTATCATCGAGCTTAATTACAAATTTAATTGTTGGACAATCAATAACGTCGAAAAAATGTGTGTTAATTTTATCTTCATTTGTTGCCACTTCTTTGATTGGTTCCTTTGTAATTAGTTTGTCATCTTCATTATGCTTTTCTTCAATAATTAATATCCCATTGAGTTTAATGGTAGGTTCACAGTTTAAATTCACCGACAATGGTAATTCTTTCTTTTCAACTTTTTCAAGTGGATTATATCCTCCCTTTTAAATTCGTGCCAGAATATGGAACCTCTGTACGTATTTTCCTTTCACCCAATGTAGCA